CCAATAACATTTTACGCAGCCTGCCTAATCGCAAACTTAAAATCATAATTTTCTATCGAAACCTGTTTCTAAATTATCCGGATTGACTGAAGACAAAATACCCCTAGATATCGCTTACTATACCTTGCAACGATTGTTACTGTAAAGTGCTTAACAATCTTGTTTCTTATTCAGGACGTCCTGGGTTAGAATCTCGGTCCGAAGAGAGGATATTCTGACTGAGGTTTTTGTGATCTTTCTCATTCTCTCCAGACCACATCCGGGACACACCTCTTTCAGTTCATTATTTAGCAGTCTATGCTGTGTAGTCTGAGATACGGATAGCGTTGCTGAATAACAGTTAGAGTTCATAAAGCAGGCAACCGTTTCACGTATTTTAACGCGACTTGGTCAGAAATCTCCAGCGTTCGATCTTATGAACGTATCCAGAAACTTGGTCACTGTACTTTCTGTGTGAATGTCATCTTCTTATATAAAATATCGCTTACATATTTTATATGATCTTAAAAGAGGATTTTCTGACAGTTCGGTTGAAAGTTCGTCCTTAGGCACTCTACGTCTTCCTTTCATTGACATTTGTGTTCCAGTGAGGTCGCCCCGAAGCTCGCCGAACACGACGTTACGCTGTTCTGTCGCCCGTTTACCTGTCGCCCACGAACAGAACGAGGCAACTCCAGGTGTTACAGAGGCATTTTCACAAACTGTACAAACTGTTCAACTTTGAGACAAGGATTGTACTTTGGGTTCTGTGTTTATCTAAATAAAACTTAAAAAATCTAGTCCTACCACGAAGAAAACACAGCACTTATCCGTTACAAATATCAGTTTTCCGATGATATTTTAGGGAAATTATCCCTCTTTATTGTAATATACGAAATTCGTAAGTAAAGTGTGTGGAAAAACTGCATATAGTTATTGGATGTTAAAAAATGTACTAAACACAGTTACTACTTTAAAGGGTTAAGATCTGACTGAGGTCTGCATGTTTTCAAGTTTTGAGCTTATAACTCAAGACTGCTGCAAGCGATATTCGATTTTTTAACATCGGTGTGCAGTCCGCTGTTGTTTCTGCTGGAGCGATGGGAGCTAGGTCCGCGTAATTATGAAGGATGCCTTTCTTAACTGAGGAAGCACTTTCCCTTAAATCTAATTTGGCTTATAGGCCCGCTTCATTCCCAGTGACAGCGTAGAATGTGGCGTATCTTCCAGGGGCCTAAAGATATGTGTAATTACAACAAAAAGATTTTATTCTAATTTTATTTATTTATTTATTTTTGAGGTCGTACCTGAGTGATCCTTCATATTCCACAGTCCGGCAGTGAAAGCTACTTTTTGATTGAAGATGAAAATTAATTAATGAAGTGTCTTAATGGTACAGTGCGTATGGAGGAAATCTAAAATAAATAAAATATAAGGTCAGGTAAATTACTTCTAAACATAGGTCGTAAAGAAAGCGACAAGGACAGGAAAAAGTATTTGTAAATATGGAGAGCTGTTGTTAGCTTACGTAAGGTATAAGAGTGTAGCGTAAGTGGGTTGATTATGAACTGTGCACTGTTTTTAGGTAGCAGTGAACACATGCACTTACGTTTAACGTACCTGAAATAGAAAAATATTCCTAGTTGTTTGGATTTCAATATAAGCAGTCTTTACTGTGCTCCTTTCAGTGTACAACCTTTTAACAAATACAGATATGCCTATTTTATTATCACATTTGGAGTTTCAGAAATAATCTTTGGTAGTTTGATTGGGTTGAAATGGCTCACGATCGAATACGGGGGTGGACTTTCATGTTAGACATGTTGAACATTCCGGTTCTGGTAATTTAATTATGTAACTTAAATTTTTTTGGCAATTATTGACTCATTTTGCTTCAAACATGAGATTTGAGGTTTACTTACTGGTGAAAAATGTGTCCTCCGAAACGTCTGTAATTAGCTGCAACACTACACGGTATCACAACCCAGATTACAATCAACTTGTTAGACATTGACATCTGGATTACGCTTATATTTAATATATACGACGTTTCGGGAATTGGTTTAACTCTCGTTTTAAAATGACAACTCCTGATACGTCATGCATGTCGAAAGCCTGTGTTTCTGGATCAGGTCCAACATAATTTCCACAGATATCTGTGGGATTCGTGTTTGTTGTAAATTCAATTTAAGGATGTTGACCCATTAGAGTGCTTGACGTGTACGCCCTTACGTCTCCACACAATCTCCTTTTATCACACTATCTGTACTGAAACGAACAGCGACACTGAAGACCAGCGGCGTGTCGCGGAACTGCACGTGGGAACAAAATATGGCACGTGACGTAATTTGAAGGTGTATTGTCGCTTTAACTGTTATCCTAAATCCGCCACTAGTTGTAAAATGATCATTCGCGGTGTCTGAATCTCACATAAAAAGGGTTATAAGCTAAAGTAAAAAATATGATGCTATAAGATTTTGTAGAACTGCTGTAAAGATGTTGGTTGCGTCCTGAAGTCGTGACCTTCCCTACTCGATCCATATCGAACCACTGTCCTCCGACACTCGGTAGAAAAATATGCATCAAGTACTCTCAATTCTTTGATTTCTCACCCTCTGTTTCTTTATCTCCTTTAAACTCCCTTTTGTAGGAGAATAGAAAGCCCTCCCATATCACACTCCCCCACCTAAACTTTCCTCTCATCTTTTTCTCACCCCCTCTCTTTAACTATCATCCCTCTCCCTAAAGTCCTGCACACTCTTTACCGTCTTACCCCCTTCTTACCATCCGATCTCCCTCCTTGAACATTTTCTTCTTAGTTATAACATCCACCCCTCTGTCCGCCATCCGCTCACAGTCTCCTGCTCTGGAGCACGGCTCTGGCTTCATCACCATCTTACAGACGACGAAGACGCAGTAGAAGGGAAAGTAAGATAGGGACACCTTCCCACCTCACTCGTCAGGCACCTTCCCCTTCTTCTTGGTGCATCTCTTACCCCTCGACTTCTCCTCTTCCCCTAACCCCCCCCCCTTACCAGCAGTTCCCCCGCTCTGGTTAGCGATTGATTATAAAGTGTATGCAGGGCCAACAGTCAGCGGCCGACTGCCACGCGAGACAGATCTGGGGCTGCGTGGACAGCTGGGAATAAAAACAAAAACAACAAAAAAAAAGGAGGAAACGCATGGAAAGATGTGTGGTAGAGGAGAAGGGAGGAAGACGCCCACCAAAAACATAGCAGCTACCTTCATCAGGACATACTAAATAAACGAGAAGGAAGAATACAAAAATGTACGTCACCACAAGTTTGCCATTACAAAGTATATCAACAACAACATAATCAGTGGATGTATGAAAGAAAATATATCGGCAGTGAGTGTGTTGTGTGTTTTGTAATAATAATAATAATACAAAGATTTTTTTAATAATATCAAAAAAGTGTGTGGTTTTTTTGGTGGTGTTGCGCCATTGTGTCCTGCGTTGGGATGACATCTGTGTCCAGAGTCAATAAACATCATCAGCTGCAGATTATCGTCTCGGCGTGTTCAATAATCCAGCGACGGCCATACAGCTACAGGACGCGGAGAGCCAGCGTTCTGAGAAGTTACGCACTGAAGAGGCGATGCAATCAGGTAGACTGTCTTTTAGCTTCTTCTCGCCGCTGTACCAAACTTGTTTTAATGTGGTTCAGTCACACGCTGTTCTGATACGGACGAAATGGCGCAAAAGAAGAAGATCGTGTTTTGTTTCATAGAGCAACGTTGGAAACATTTTCGTTTGCTTAGAGAGCGCGAGGCGCCAGAACAGCTGGGCAACCGTTAACCTATAAATCATGATCAAGATGATTATTAATATAGGAACATTAACAATAACAACAGCAACGTAAATGATTTTTTGTGGTTTTTATGATCGTGAAAATGTCGCGCTGATTACATGCTCGTGGGATCATCACCGATAATATTAGCTGAGTGACTGTCGTACTTCTTGTGCATCCAGCAGTGTCATCCATTCCCATGTCTGGAATGACCCAAGTCGGTACCTCCCCCTAACGTATTCTATATGTCATTTTCACCAGTTGCACACATGCCTATATTGTATTCCAAAAAATTATCTTAGTTGAAATGACATAAAACAACCGAATTCTATAAATGAACAGTTTGCACGATGTTTCATGTCTGTTTTGGTTTACATACATACTTCGTATTTGATGCAGTTTTATTGTAAGTTACTGTACGCACGTTCAGGTTGTATCATGGGTGTCGTCGTCTTCTGGTTTATGACATCACATTTTTATCTTCGTGAAAGCCTCAAATTCCATACGATGTTTAACCTTTCGAAATTGATTTCGCACTTTTCGTTGTGGTACGATTTGTCCCATTGGGCAGAACTTTTTTGGTCACCTTGTTGTCGAATGTTATAGCTCGTTTTGAGCAGCAAGATTAAGGTAACTGGAAACGAGATCAAATGAGAGAATAAAGTTTTGTGTCGTAAAAAGTTTGAATCTTGGATGTATGTTGACAAATATGAGATTTTGGATTTGGATGTAATCTTTGAAAGGAAATACGATTTTCTCTGGAAATAGCAAAGAATCAGTTGTAGGTCATTGGAATTTATGCAGTAGACACAAGTAAAAATTAGTTATTTTCAATTTATCAATGTAAGTTTATTATATGTCTTTTGTTGTCATTCATTTCTTCTCTCAGCTAAATCCACGTCTGACACTGTGGATACAGAAATGTTGAAATTATGTTACATTATATTTATTATTAGGAGCAATACTTTTACTTTATTTTGAAATATAACTTATTTTTTCAGAATCTAGCCAAATAGATATAACACGAGGTTGTTAAGAGACGCCAAAAACCCAGTTTAGGACACAGTATAAGCAGTAAATGTTCATTTAAGCCACTCATATTGCGTGTGTGTAGGTTACGTTACGTGATGATTATGTCGTGGTATAATTCTATTTGACATTTGGTTTTGTACGTGTCCATATACACCTCATGTCTGTTTAAGACGCGAGAATTCAATCACGGTTGGTTAACAATATTTCTAGTTTTCCGCGTTAATAGCTGACACTTGATGTGAAATATTCCGTGTATTTTATCTTAAACCTTTTCATTTTATCGTTTAATTATAGATTATGACTGAGTGGAAGTTGTATAATATTTCTGTTTCACTGAATTTAGGTCTGTGTCTGTTGTATGAGTAAGTGACCATCGGTTTTTGGAGTAGACCAAAATGTTTCGTGAATCTCTGACATGGTCTTGCGATGAACGGAGTTAATTCTGTATGGAATGTTACATTTTATTATAATCGTATGAAATATGTAAGTGTCTTTGTTCACAAATTATTATTATTTTATTTAGTTCTGTTTTATAGGTCTATATATTCTCTTCTACAAGTCCTGTAGGTGGAAGCTTTTGCATTTCATAATATCGTGGAGGCTCAGTAACATTCTTTCAATTTATACATTCACATTTGTTTGGAAGTTAGACAGAAAGTCGTGTATGTGGAGTTTCTTTCTTTTGCAATATCTGACTCTGTATAGGTTTGTAATTCAACTAACATGGCTGCGTAAATAGTAATGTGACTGACTTCAGTCCTCTTGTATTTAATGTACAGTTAGATCAGCTCTTTTTCTGAAACAGCAAAGGAGTTGTCGTTTCAAAGATATCTTATAAAGAAATACATTCATAGGTTGCGAGGTGGTTGATACTCGCTTAGGATCGTGTTCGAACGTTGGTTTTTATCAACACGTTGAATGCGTACCAGTTTAAACCTCACATTATCGTTTTTATCAGATTTCCACCAAGGGAGAGGATACTGAAACGAATTTATACTACCAAGATGAAGAATTCGTAATATAAAGCTTTCTTTAACATTAACAATTGGAGAATGAATCTCACGGAGGTGAATATGTCGATGTTGATCTTTCGGGTTTAATACCTTGCAGGTGGAGGAAGCAATTCCTCCAGATGTTGGTACAGACAGCACTATCAGTTACTGAATCTGCACGCAGATGCCCTAATGGTGATGGTGATTTCGATAGTAACGTCTTGTGTATGGTTTTACGAGTTCCCTTTTGTGATCTGTTAAAATATTTTCTGTAGAATGATTCTATAAAATATGATTTGGGACACTTGCCGATACGTTATTCGGCAGCTTTTGTGCCACTATTTTATGTAGGCTGAGCTGCTTTTAAGTCCTCAAAACATTTTATGGTTCCCCACTTGTCGTGTCGTGCACATTTTTTGTAATTATTAAACTGTTCGGCCGTTGTGATACAAGTCTTCATACTGTGCGTGTGTACGTTCGTGTGGTACCTATGACCTTCGTTCCCTTAGTGGAAAATAGCGTAATTTCGGTAATGAATGTGACTAGTTACGTAGATTAATCTGTGTATTGTTCAAGTTGCGTAATAACGAGAACCAAGGTGCTTATGACGTGTCCCACTTCACGGTAGAATTACATTCTTCCTGCGAGTTTACGAATTGTGTTTTACCGGACGGCAGAACCAGTTTCAATCGGACGAAGAAGCAGTAACACCCGCCAAACTTCAGCCTTCCTGCTCCCGATTCAGGTGCTTGTCGCCCGTCCAACTGAGGTACATTGTAAAACACTGCTTAGCCCTACGTTTTAGTATGGTTCGTAAAAGGAATAATAACACGTTTTATTAATTTTGTTTTTAAGTATTTTAATGGAAACATAATTTATGTTTCCAGCGCTCTTTATTTGCATAAGAAACTTATTCGATCAGTATTTTTTAACAAATATAATTTTACTAAAAACCGAGTTTGAGTGAAAATTTTTTGTTGTTGTATTTCTATAATTCTGGCATCTCCATTGTTTATGTAAGTCTTTTAAATAGTGCACTACAAAATATGTGTGTTATTTCGCTTTTATTTCTGGATTCCATAAACACATAAAACATCGACTGAGATCAAATATGCCACACACGGAACGTTTGGCATATTCATCATAGGACTTACAGCACTTTGAGGAAGCAGTATTTGACCATTCTTCCTACTTGGACTGTAATGTGACATAGATGCGGTATTTTTTTTGTACAGAGATGTTTCAATAATTTGGTGTGCGTGCCCCATTATCATTCTGAATCAAAAATCAAGGTCCCATCCCGCCACATCGTGTAAAATTTATGTAACGCTGTGCTGACGGCATAAGGAATGTTACAGTACAGAATACGCTCTTTTGCCCGCGACTTTATGTGAACTTTTCCCCCTAATATGTTACAAGTGACATGACATAGGGATGAAATGTGTGGATTTCATAAACCATTCCCTTTACTGACATTGCTGTCTGTCATTTGATGATACTTGTTGAAATTTTAGTATGATTCTCGGGGTCTGCTTCCTCGTTTTCCTTAAAAGTATTAGGTATACAGTAGGCCTGTCCTAGATGAAGGATGAGACTGTGTAGGCCTATAAGAGTATAGTCCATTGAGTTTCTGATAGGCGATTATGGACTCTAGATCAGAATTTTAGATGATTTATGCACTTAATATCTTACTGCAAACAGTATAATGAGGTTTACATTAAATAACTTGTTTTTAATATTCTTCTAAGGGTAAATACTTCGATCTTCAGTAGATCCTAACGTTATGGTCGGCGTATGACGTGTAAGAATTCATAGGGGACAATGGGCCTTCTCACGTATTTCTACCAACAGCTCAATATTTAATATATTAGAACCATAAAATATAACTGTTTTTATTATTTACTGTTTGCATGTTGCAGCCTTGCTCGTGCGTTAAGGTAGTAGACGTAATTTTATTGTTGCTGTGTTAATTACGCCCATGCTCTGAACACCTTTGGACCTCGGGTAGAATTCGACCCCGGTACTGGTTTTTCATTGTCATTAGTATAAACAGCGTGTGTCTACAGGTCTATTGAAATAACTTTTATGCAGGAAGAAGCACCGTAATTGAGTCACCAAACATCGCGTCTTCGGGAGGTCACAGGTTGAAATCCCAGCCTTAATACAGGCTGTCTTGACTTCATCGTGATTTTCTCAGTCCCTCCAGATAAATGCCGGGATAATATCTTGTTTTAGGCAATGACCGCTTCCTCCCATTTCCTTTCTAGTTCATTATTCATTAATCATTATGTCATTGTACGCTATCAGTGTATAGTTTGACGTACTGACAGCGTTATTAAGTAAACCACAAATAAGTGAATAAATTAACATAGTTTATAGCTTATCACATTTTTCATTGTGTCGTTAAACGTGTGGAAAGTGATGATAGTACGGCACTGCTAAGCCTTTGTTGTTTTTTTATTATGTCAATCATACTCGATATGCAAGGACTCTTTTAGCCACATTAAGAAATTATGACCCTGCGAATTTATTATGAGGCTAGCAAGAAAAAAATTTACATAAAAGGTACGATTTCATCTGTGTTACCTGCATCATACAGACAATATGGCACACGAAAGACTTATATTAAAGTGTGTAAATTTTATTATGAAATATTTGTTTTTATCAACGAGTCGCTGTAGACTCATTTTTGATTCCCGCTCATCTGGCTGCTGCGTTTGCCGATAATGTCCGCTCTGAAAGGCAAACTCACCTCTGGTAACATTTTGTTCAACCCCACTCATTTCTCAGTGCT